ATATATAGTGATATATATAGTGATAGATGTAACAATCCCAAGTGATAGCAACATCAGGAAGAAGGAACAGGAGAAGCTCGAGAAATACCAAATGCTGAAGGAAGAGCTAGAAGGTGAAGGCACAAGTGGTCCCCATGGTAATGGGGACATTACAAACTGGGAGAGTGGCTCCAACAGACCCAAGGAACAACATCTGAGATCTCTGTCCAGAAGAGTGCAATTCTAGGAACAGCTAAGATACTGCGCAGGACCCTCAGGTTCCCAGGCCTCTGGTAGAGGACCTGAGCTTGAAGGAAGGAATGAGGCCGCTCCAAAGTGGGGCGAGTGGGGAATTTTTTTATATATACTGTATGCATTTATACATAGTTACTTAAATTTTTGTGGTCATACTGTACCTACATTAATTTTTTTCATGAATGGGTTCTGGCTTCTTTCTTCTGTTTAGAATAATTAAAATGAATAAATGTTTGCATTTTCATAATATGTTTTAATAAAAATGTTTTTCATTCTAAAGTAAAAATATATATGATATTTTAATACAAGAGAATCCAGGGAATGTCAGTGATTCCAAAAATTTTTAATTCATGAGGTCCCTGTAAACAACATTAGTTACACTAAGTGTTGGGGGGTTTCATGAATTTCATTTCTTTCATAGGGCCCAAAATCTCTAGTGGCACCCATGACTACACACTGTTAAGGTCAGGTCAGCTGGATGTGAATTTTAGAATGAATTATGGTTGTACACACTGTCATAAATAGTTGATATATAGGGTGTAAATCATAAAGAAAATATAAATTTATCTCTCTACAGTGAATATTCTCATGCAGGTGAGGCTGGGGAAAATCACACCCACCACCAAGACTATCAGCACAGGAATGCATGCTCTCCCCACTGCTGTTTTCCCTCTGCACCAACAACTGCATCTCAGGGGACCCCACTGTAAAGCTCTTGAAGTTTGCAGATGGCACAATGGTCATTCGTCTCATTCAAGACAGTGACGAGTATGTGTACAGACAAGAGGTTGAGCAGCTGGCCCTGTCGTGTGGTTGCAACAACCTGGAGCTGAACACGTTCAAAACAGTGGTGATGATAGTGGACTTCAGGAGCATGCCTCCTGTATGACTTCCTGTTATGGTTTGCGTCGACGCTTCCCATTTTTCTGTTGTTTTTCTCCAGATTCTATGTCTCTCCCTGCCTGTCATGTCTCCACCGGTGTAATCACTTATCCAGTCCACCTGCCGCTCCTTACTTCCCGGTTCAGCTCCCCATATACTATACGCCCTCTTCCCGTTCATTTCCCGCTGGTTCGTTAGTCTACTCACCTATGTTTCCATTCCCGTTATCAACGCCAACCTGCTTCACGACATACTACCCAACTCTTCAGTCCTCCACTCCAACTCTTCGTTCCCCAACTCAGCATTTCAGCTCTCTGCTCCAGCTCTCTCTTTCTGGTTCTGCATTCTTCAGTTCTCTGTTCCCCGGTCCTGCACTCTTGACCTCTGCACTTCCTGGTCCTCCCCGCTGCACTGCCTGCCTTGTCTCATGTCAGCTCCCCACTGTCTGCCTGCCTCATCTCCAGCTCCACACTGCCTGCCTGGTCTCCAGCTCCATGCTGCCGGCGTTTCTCACCTCCTGTCAGTTCAATGAAACCTGCCTGTCCCGTCCAGTACCTGATTGGCCTCTGTTCCCCTCTCTCCTCCACCTGGTAACCTGTTCTTTGTGTATTTAATATATTCCTTTTGTGTGTCTGCATATTTGGTCCAACTGCACCTTCACCGTGACACTTCCCTTACAGCTGGACGACTGTGTACCATCTCACTACCCCCAAACACACAGAATCTAGCTCTGTTTTGTGTTTCAAAGACAGTTTTAGGGTAAGACCTTATCAAACCATCCTCTGCAAACAAACCAGGTGTGGACATCAAAAGGCCTACTCTCATCTACAAGGGCCAAACCCCACCGCTCTACTTGTGACCTTTACTGCATTAGAATATACATCTTTAACGCCAAATCTGATCTCCAAGGCAGTAAAGTATGAAAGGCCACACTCACTAGACAGTTGGTGTCTGTCTTCACCGTGGCACTTCCCTTACATCTGGAAGACTGTGTACCATCTCACTACCCCTAAACACAGAATCTAGCTCTGTTTTAGGGTAAGACCTTATCAAACCATCCTCTGCAAACAAACCAGGTGTGGACATCAAAAGGCCTACTCTCATCTACAAGGGCCAAACCCCACCGCTCTACTTGTGACCTTTACTGCATTAGAATATACATCTTTAACGCCAAATCTGATCTCCAAGGCAGTAAAGTATGAAAGGCCACACTCACTAGACAGTTGGTGTCTGCTTATCTAATTTTTCCCAAGAGAACAGGACCACATTGGAATGTGAAGAGGCCACCATAAAAATGGCTTAATATTTGATTCTTTCTCGCTATAACAATGGAAAGTTTCTTAGATTTGAGAATGTGAAATTATATTAACCAAAAGTTGTGTGAAGTGTTTAAATGGAAGTTTAGAAATGTTATAGTAAAGTTCATAAACAATTTCTGGACATACCTAACTCAGTCACTGCAAGAAAAGATGTCTTCCTTAACAGTGAAAATGTTATCTTGTATGTGAAAATGCAAGATCTATGATCCAAAATGTATAAGCTGTCCCATAAAACTGCAAGAAATATTTCTGTTATGTAAGGTAGAAGTGTGAGCGTTTCCACAGTGTGCTTCCAAAGTGTCAGTCCGAAACTCGTTATCATAACAACAGAGTTCCAGCCAGGCAGAGAACATCCAACCAATCTGGTAAATCCAAATGCCTGAGCTGGCACATGACTATTCAAGAACCACCTCTCCTTTGAATCAGAAAACAGAAAAAGTATGTCTTGTTCGTCTCTTGTCTGCATTTTTGTGTTTTGTCTAAAACTCCTTCCTCTAAATTTTATGCTTGCAGCAGCACGACAACTGGATTTTTAAAAATTATTTTGCAATGTGATAATGATTTTTGTAATCCAGCAGACAAGCCAACCTGAAGTAAAGCACACCAAATTTGAATCATTTTCAGGCAAAGTTTGTAGACAAAGAAAACATTTGTTAGCAAGGCCTAGTTTTATTTAATCCAAATCATTGTTAAACTCCAAAAATGTCATCAAAATGGTCCTGTGATGATCAGTTAATTCTAAAATGGTTTTACTTGGGACCTTGTCAAATGCCACAGTGACAGAAGGACCCTGGTGAAGCCATTGTCCTGGAAACTGCTCCAGCAGCAGCCTGAAGCCAACCCCTCACATGAAAGAGGCAGACTACTCTGAAGATGAGGAACACCTTCTGAGCTTGTAGCCACAAAGGTATTGAAGAACTTCAGAATTCCACAGACCTCTATTCTGGCCCAAAAGGCTTTGTAACCCAGTGCTTCTCCTGCCCTGGCCCTGTTAAGGGATAAATGAACTGCATCTGTGGCACAGCTTGATGTTCCATGATATCATAGTCACACTTAATTAAAGACTCTAATATATTGAAATGGAGGGATGGATATAGGGGCAAATAACAAAAATCATCTCAGGACACTTTATAAAGTCACGTCTAGACTTTATAATTATTATTGTGTGGATGCGAGCATCCACACTCTTATCTTCTTCTTTATTATTATTCTGGGTTCCACCGCTGTTCTTTGGTACCTAACTCCTTCAGCATACTTTCACCTAGAAGGGCCAT